TGACCACCTTTGCATTTAACAGAACAAGTGGAGTCAAAAGTGTTCTCAAAAGCAAAGTGGGGGGGGCACATGCCCTAGGTGGATTCATGAGTTCGAGGCCAGCCTGGTCTATGACTGAATTGCAGAACAGCTAGGACTACACAGAGAAAAACTGTCTTGAAGAAACAAACAACATTGATCTCCACATAGTTCCCTTATGAACACAGATGTAAATATACTAAATAAAATGGTTGCAAACTGAACCTAAGAACACATCAAAAAGATCATCCACTGTGACCAAGTAGGCTTCATACCAATGATTCAGGGATGGTAAGATATATGAAAATCAATAAATGTCATCCACTAGATAAACACACTTAAAGACAAAAGCCACTTGATCACCTCATTAGATGCAGCAAATGCCTTGACAAAATCTCACTCACCTCATAATAAAGGTTCTGGAGAAATCAGGATACAAGGGACACATCTCAACATAATAAAGGCAACATACAGCAATCTCATAGCAAACATCAACATCAATGAAGAGAAACTCAAAGCAGTTTCACTAAAATCAGGAACAAGACAAGATTATCCACTTGCTCCATATCTATTCAATATTGTACTTGTAGTCTTTGAGCAATGAAACAACTGAAGAAGATCAAGGAGATACAAATGAGAAAGGAAGAAGTATCACTATTTGCAGATGATAAGATAGTAGGCATAAGGGACCCTAAAAATTCCACCAGCAACCATCTATAGCTGATAAACACTTTCAGCAAAATAGCTGGATACAAAATTAACTAAAAAAAAGTCAGTAATCTTTCCATAGACAAGTGGTAAACAGACTGATAAAGAAATCAGGAAAATAACACCTTTCACTATAGTTACAAACAATATAAAATATCTTCAGAAAACTCTTACTAAGCAAGTGAAAGACTTGTATGACAAAACTTGAAGTCATTGCAAGAAGAAATTGAATAAGATATCAAAATATGGAAAGATGTCCCATGCTCATGGATTGGTAGGATTGACATAGCAAAAATGACCATCCTACCAAAAGTAACATACAGATTTAATACAATTCCCATCAAAATTCCAACACAATACTTCACAGATCTTGAAAGGACAATTCTCAGCTTCATATGGAAACAAACAAACAACACACACACACACACACACACACACACACACACACCAGGATAGCTAAATAGTCCACAACAATAAAAGAACTGCTGGAGGTCTCACCAGTTCCAATAATAAAAACGGTGTGGCATTGCATAAAAACAGACACACTGAATTGAACTGAAAACACAGACATAAATCCACACATCTATGGACACCTGACTTTTTATTTTTAATTAGGAAGCTATAAAAAAAAGACAATGTCTTCAACAAATGGTGCTGGTAAAACCGGATGGCTGAATGGAGAAGAATGCAAATCTACCACCCTGAGCAAAGCTCAACTCCAAATGGATAAAGGACCTCAACATGAGGCAAGCTGCACTGAACCTGGAAGAAGAGTAAGAGGGGGAATAGCCTTGAACTCATTGACACAGGAACAGACTTTCTGAACAGAGCACCACTAACGCAGGCACTAAGATCAACAATTAATCAATGGAACCTCAAGAAACAGAAAAGCTTCTGTAAGGCAAAGGACAACATAATGTGGACAAAGCAGCAGCTTGCAGAATGGGCAAAGATTTTTTTTTTTTTTACCAACTCTACATCCTGTAGAAGACAAATATCCAAAATATACAAAGAACTCAAGAAAGTAGATATAAAAAACCAAATAATCCAATTTTTAAAATGGGGCACAAATCTCAACAGAGAATTCCCAATAGAGGAAACTCAAATGGTCCAAGAGAAAAAAGTGTGCTACAGTTAACAAAGAAAAGGAGTTGGAGATTGGCCTGAGCTTTGACAACAGGCAAGGAAATGTAGAATTTAGAGTTTGCCCACTTAATTTTCAGTCTTGCTTTGGATCAGTGTTTCCTCACCAGACTCCCTTTCCTCCCTTTTAGAATGATAATGTAGAATCTGTGCCATTGTAGACTGGTAGTAAGTAATCTACTTTTTGGTTTTGATAAAGAAGCTAAAAATAAAAAAATGTAAAAAGAGAAAGCATATTCAACAAATGGTGCTTGTATAACTGGATATCAACATGTAGAAAATGTAAATAGACCCATATCTATCACCTTGCACAAAACTCAAGTCCAAATGGATCAAAGACCTCAACATAAAGCCAGCCACACTGAACCTCATAGAAGAGAAAGTGGGAAGTATACTTGAACACATTGGCCCAGGAGACCACTTCCTAAATATAACACCAGTAGCACAGACACTGGGAGAAACAATTAATAAATGGGATCTTCTGAAACTGAGCAGCTTCTATAAAGCAAAGGACATGTGGTCAACAAGACAAAATGGCAGCCTACAGAATGGGAAAAGATCTTCACCCACCCACATCAGACAGAGGGCAGATCTCCAAAATATACAAAGAACGCAAGAAACATGACATCAAAGAACAAATAAGCCAGAGAGACCTATGGTAAAATCAAATACTACTGGTCTTTAAAAAAAAAAGACTCCCTCTCCTGGGCTCTGTATTCTCCTGGTCCACATGTTTGGATGCTTTAGTGGAGGTCAAGTTATTCTAGGGACATCGTCCACAACCCACTAAAACTCTTTAAAGCCCACCAATACCTCCCAAGAGCACCCCAACCTCTGAACTCTATATCCTGGCCCCTACACATCTCCTGCTGCTTTACTGGAGGCCTAGGTCCTAGGGACCCCAGGTAAGACATCCTCCACCACCTGCCAATACTCGTTAAAGCCTACTCAACAACCCCAGACTGCACCTCCTTTCTGGGGTTCTGCATTTCAGCAAACTTCAGCAAAGACGTCGTCTTTACCTGAGGCCAGGCTAGAAGGACTTTGGAACTTGGTGCAAGAAAAGTCATTGAGTGTTCAGTGCTTAGTGAGCTGTTCTGTAGGGGTTGGAAGATAAGAATGTTGAAGACAATGCAAAAGATGGAGGCCTGGCTTGTGAAGTCTCTGAGAAAAGTTTAAAGACTCTAATTGGGCCACTTGGGTCTTTTTGAATTAAGACTCTGAGGTTGTGGTTAGCTGGGGCTGAAGAATCAGCTGTGATTAACAAGATCCCAGAGCTACTATTGGAACCTTTGCTTTCCTGGGATGCTCGATGCTGGTTGACTGTATAAATGATTATGCAGGCGATTGCTGATGTTCCAGATTCTGTATTAGACAAAATGATCGTAGTTAGCTGCATACTGCATACTGCATGCTGCAGGCTGCAGGCTGCATGCTGCACACTGCATGCTGCCCACAGATGCATGGAGCTCTTCTCACTTCTGGTCACTTCACACTTTTGTCAGTATGTTAAAGAAATTATCTCAACTCAGATCTGTTATTTTTCACACGGCTATTGTGGATTCCTGGTAGCCACAGGCAGCTTCAGAACTTAGTTAAACCTCAGTGTCCGCAAAGCATAATTTGAATCTTCTGCTAAGACCATCAGACTTCCCTTATTGATCTTTCTAATACATACGCCCAGTTGTCATTGGTTACCAGGTTACTAGGTGGTTATAAACACCTAAATAGTAGCAATGCTTATTCACACATTCCCTACCTAAAACTACCTGTGTCTCGGCAAGGGAAGAGGATTATAGGCGGGGACAAGCATCACTCATGAGCAATCAGGTGAGTCCTCTGTGTACTAAGGCCTGGGGGCCTTATATACGCTGAAATTTTTATGTACTGAAAGCTGAGAATACTTTCATAAATTCTTGATATTTGATTCTAAAAAATAATGACCCAAGATGGAAAACTCTGGAAAATCTTCTGTGATGGCTAAAATATTAGGTTTAGGCAAAACACAAATGGCCAGGAACACAGTTCAGTGATAGAGTGCTTGCCTCAAACTCATGAGGCCATACGTTCAATTCCCAGTGCTCCAAAACTAAATAGATGAAGCATAAAGCAGAATTCAGTGCCTGGCATTGAGTGAAATGATTGTCATCAGTGTCATCTGAGGAGGATTCATGGGGTCCTAAGTGTGCTGTGAGACCCTCACAAGGCTTCTCCTCACTTTGTAATCATCAGTGGTCCTGGGAATGAGTGTGAGCCCCATACAATGTGTGCACCTCCTGTCTCCTGGAACTCACAGTCAGCCGACTGCTGCTGCCATCTTGTAATTGTGAAAGCCTGGTTCGATTCTGCTGTGACCACAAAAATGACTTTAAGGAAATCTCTTCTTTTCTTCTTCTCTTGTGATATGACAATGTCTGATTTGGTATTTATAGTCCTGCTCTAAGGCTCTAGGCCAGGAATCCTTGGAGGAGTCAGCACATCCTACAGAACCGTGTCCTCCACTCTCTGTAGCTCTGACAGACGAAGTCCTTCCACTGGTGAATGATGTCGCATATACACGGACCTTCAGGACAGGGCTGAGCAGCGTGTGGGGCTCCCTCCTCACTGCTCTTCCTGTTGTGTCAGTCACGTGTGTTTCCCACAGTCTTGTCCTCACTTCTGAATCTCACAGTTTCCTTCACAGCATGGATGCTTCCAGAGGATTCTAGAGCTTCAATTCATGTCGACTGTAACTATAAAGTTCACATGTTAATATTTATTTTTACAACACAGCATAATATACTGTATATCTTAATTGCTAGTAATTTGGGAAAAATGGCCACTTAAATTTGAATTGAGGAGGAATGTTACATTTCACTCACCTTGAGCTTCCCCTTAGAGAATAACTCAAAACAAATGGTTACAGGAACTAGAACAAGAAGTCTCTCTTGAGTTTTGATAAGAAACAGAAAACACACCTTCCTTTCTTAAGGCAATTGTGTGTGATGGGAACAGGTGCAGAGACTTACTGTCAAATGTTAGTTGGAATTCTGGAAACCCAGAGATGGGGAGGGAGGATTGTAGGAGCCAGAGGAGCCGAAAGGACCAGGAGAGCACGGCCCACAGAATCCACTAAGCAGGGCTCACGAAGGTTCACGGAGACTGAAGCAGCAACCATGGAGCCTGCATGGGTTTGTGCTAGGCGCTCTGCATACATGCTGTGGTGGTTCAAATTAGGGACTCCTAACATTGGTAGTTGTAACTGTCTGTGACTTTTTTGCCTGCTTGTAGCATCCTTTTTCTTCTACTGGGGTGCCTTGTCAAGCCTTGATATGGGGGCCTGTGCCTAGCCTTACTGCATCTTGATATCCCGTGTTCGTTGATATCCCTGGAACGTCTGCTCCTTTCTGGAGAGAAATGAACAGCAGTGGATCTGGGGGAGGAAGGAGGTGGAAGAAACTGGGAGGAGGGGAGGAAAGGCTGCAGTTGGAACGTATCGTATGAAAGAAACAAAAATAAAAAGAAAGACAACAGTGTGTACGCTGTGTGAGCAGGACAGTCACCCGGGTCAAAACTATGGAGAAACCTGTTGCGCAAGAAATAACACCCAGAGACAGATATCAGGGTTCAAGCTGAAGATAAGAAAAACAAAGAAGCAACCACTAGAGAGACCTTTAACCTCTACCAATCTTCAGACTGAAAGGGCGAGATCCTGTCTCCACAAATTCTCAGACTGAGGACTCCAGCATGCTCAAGTGAGTTCCTGTCTCTTCCCCTTCATATTCCTCTCTCTGCCCAGTCATGACACTCCTGTCTCCACCTCCCTAGTGCTGGAATTAAAGGTGTCTAACTTCCAAACCACCACCTGTGTAAACCACCACCACCTGGACCTGTTGTGGGATCAATTTATGTAGCCCAGGGTAGTTATGAACTCACAGATGTCAGTCTGCCTCTGTCTCCAGAGTTCTGGAATTAAAGGTCTCTGCCACTATGCCCTGGCCTCCAGTGACTTAGTTTTGCACTCTGATCTTCAGTTAAGCTTTATTTATTAAAGTGGAAATAAAAGATGACTACAGAAACCCTCAGAGACAAGTGTGGGTGGATGTGGACACACAGCAGAGTATTCGCAGGGGACTTCCTTTTGTACTCGGTTCAAATATTAGACCTTGGAGTTTGTCCCTGTTGACAGGTTCAGTGTCACATCTCCCATTTGCAATGGGTACACCAAGGGTCTACTTCAGTTTAAAGACACCCACGACTCCAGGGACTCCGTGTGCATCGCCTCCATCTCGTCCCCCAGGTCAGTAGCTTTATTTCTCCTTCTGGCATTTAAATATCTTCCAGAGTTATGGTTTCCTCTTGTAGTTTTGTTGTTGCTTTGAAGGTGAGCAGCTGTCTGTCCATGCTGAAAAGAGTAGATGCTCACAGCTTTAGAGATAAGAAGCTCATGCCCTCCACTTCTAGTCAGCCCTTCTTTTCAGCTTCAGTCACAAGACCCTGAAGAAGGGATGCTTTACATCTACAAGGAAAGGGATGCTTCTAGCAGAGACTCTGTGAAGCATCTTGCCTGGTCCAAACTTCTACAGAACAAACACAAAGACTCAGTTCCACAGCATCTTGGCACTGAGCACTGGTGGAATCAGCACCCTGTCTTCCAGAAGATTTAAAATCTGAGTGAAAGAAATGGGAACTAATGTGGAAGACTGATGTGAGACAAATATGAAGGATGCTATGACTTAGGGGTTGGAAAAAAGAGACAGACAATGAGGCAGAAAATAGGCCTACAATGGCCACGGTATAGTATGAGATTCTGTGATGTAACTGAGCTTCCTTATAGAATACCACAATGCGTTAAATTTAATCTTTCTATTTTGTGCCAAGAATGTTAATCACAACTTTTTAAGGATGCTTGTCAGGAACTATTAAATTAGCAGATTTTTTAATGAGAAAAAAAATCTTTGAGTCACCAAATGAGCTTCATTATGATCTGTACAAAGGGTCTGGGAAAAGTGGGGGATTTAAATAACTAGAGGGAAGATTTGACAGAGCCAGTTATTTGTGGTAGGCACAAGAATGTCTTTGTTTTCCTGTCTATACCTGTAAAAGTGGAAGGGACTTAAAGAGCTTAAGGGTTGGGGTTTGATTTCCCACTGAGTCCAGTCAGCCCTGCCAGTGTGCACATAGGTGAAGGCCATGTCCTGGAGCATAGGTTGCTTCTTAGAGACTGTATCCTGGAAGAAAACTGACTCCCCTACTCCTAGCAGCCATCAGCTGTCAATATGTTCCCAGGCTAGGATGGAACCTCACGCCCAACTCCCCCGCAATCTTTTTCAGACTTGAGCTTTTGAAGGTCTTGTGAAGGCCATTAGATTAATCTCTGTAACTGCCCTGTTATGTCCAGAGGACGGTGTTTCCTTGTAGTTATCCAGCACTTCTGAATCTATGGTCATTCTGCCCCCTTTTGTGATAATGCCTGAGCCTTGGTTGGGGATGGGATTGGACAGGATGCAAATGTCCCATTTAGAGTGGAGGACTTCGTACTCTCTTATTCTCTACATGCTGACCACTTCTGGCTGGTGCACACCTAGAATCCTGTTGTTCTGCTTCTTCCTTGGGTGGCTGGCTACACTGGTCCATGGGGTGGAAAGAGCAGAAGTGGAGAACAGGGTTTGGATGGCTGTCAGTAAGACAGGGACAGACCTCCAGTTGATGACTTTGACGAATCAGTTCAGCTTTATTCCAGAGTATAGGAAATACATAGGATTGGGGAGTCTGGGGACAAACCCTAATTTGTACACTCCTATTATAAGGCTTCATATGTGGCAGCAGGGTCCTATAGCACAGCTCCTAATACAAGTCTCAGTTACCATAAGTGCAGTAAGGAAAAAGTGTCTTACAGGAAACGAAGCCAAAGGTCACGATGAAGATAAGTCAGGCCTCCAGGCTTGCAGACAGCTTTCAGATAAGGACAGTACTCCTGGCCCAGAGACATTCTCCAGATAAGAGCTGATAGAGAGCAGGAAATCTCACTGTGGGGGGAGAGTGCTCCCATTTTCCGAGCTTAGAGAAAGCTGCCAGGCTATGGTAGACTGCAGCATCTTGCCGCAGGCCCACCCAACAGATCCCCGTCACTCAGAATGAGGAGCTCAAGGTCATCTTCAGCCACACAGAGAGTTAGAGGTCAGCCAGGACCAATGGACAACTCTCTCTCAGAAACAGAACAGAGCACAGCAAAAGCAATTATCAATGTACTATATTTAAGGAAAGAGCACCGTAAAAGCTATATCCACAATGTGTAGCATGTGTTTGGTTTGTGTGCATGTGTGTGTGTGTGTGTGTGTGTGTGTGTGTGTGTGTACCATGTACATAGTGTGTGATATTAGTCACATTTTCAGTTCATCTATTCATTAGGGGGCTTTAGAACTCAGTCAATAGGAGGAATTACCTCAACTGAAATACTGAAAATATGGTGTGGACTCATGAGATAACATAACTGTAATTCAAGTTGGAGAACAACACTGTAGACCTCATTGAAGCAGACCTCATGTTCAGGAACAGAATCACATACCATTAGCACCAAAAGGCACAATTACCACAAAATTGAGCATCAAAAATGTCTCTTAGTAAAGAAGGTCCTCCTTAGTGACACGTTGACTTCAGTCCCGCAGCAGAATGTGCCATTTGATGTACAGCACTCAGCAGTTTTCAACACGTCTTCACGTCCACCAAGACGTGCATGAGCATTCCTTTTCAGTCCTGCTTTATCAGAGCAAACAGCTGAACACAATGCAGAATTCAGCTCCTGGAATCTGCTTTACGATGACAGAGAAACACTCATATCTGCAGCACACCCTTTACTTGAATCTAATTGTCCATGTTAATCCAAACCACCTTTAACTTTCATCCCAGATGTACTCAACTGACTTAAGCAGTAACTAGGTGATAGAGGAAGGTCTTTGGTTAATAAAGAAACTGCTTGGCCTGATAGGTTAGAACATAGGTGGGTGGAGTAAACAGAAAAGAATGCTGGGAGGAAGAGGAAGTGAGGCAGATGCCAAGCCTTTCCTCTCCAGGGCAGACGCCATGAAGCTCCAGCCCAAGATAGATGTACACTAGAATTTTTCCTGGTAAGACACCACCTCGTGGTGCTACACAGATTACTAAATATGGGTTATGCAAGACATGAGAATTAGCCAAGAAGAAACTAGATATAATGGGCCAAGCAGTGTTTAAGTGAATACAATTTGTGTGTTGTTATTTTGGGGCATAAGCTAGCTAGGTGGCCGGGAGCCAGGTGACAGGAACGTCAGCCTGCTGTTCCTTCAACAACCAGGTGTTTAACTTCACAGATGCCTGCCAGTGCCCACATTCCCACAGGTTGGCTCTGAAACTCAGTTGTGCTGGGCTCATCCTTCTTCTCCTGACTGTGATTGGACTGAGTGTTTTAGGTAAGTGAGGTGAGAGCTTTTGTTTCAGAATTGCTCCTCTAGATATCAGGTCATCTTCATGTGCTTTGTCCCCTTGAGCTGGAGGACGGTCAACCACATGAATAGTTACAGGACAGTGTCCCATGTACAGTGCAGAAGATTCCCATTTCTGTGCTTCTGAATTTCTCTCAAAGCCATTAGGGGCTATTACACATGAAGGGCTATCTAACAGACCCATGCATGGCAAACATGGCACCTGCCAGTTTTGCCCATTCTTCTTCCCCCTCCCTTGCTAAACTGTTAGATTATATTCCTAAACTAGCCTCCAAGTTCACTCACTTATTTGTCCATGGAACATTCCTGAGACAGAACACCAAGGTCTAATGATTAAAACACCAAGGGCGAAAAATCAAAATTCATATTTTGGCTATAGTGGCTTAACTGTCCAATGAGGACTTATCCACTCATCCCAACACAGACTTCCCCTTTTCTCCTTAAAAAGCCAGTCCTACAAAAAAAAAAAAAAAAAAAAAAAAAAAAAAAAAAAAAAAAAAAAAAAAAAAAAAAAAAAAACCAAACACCTGCTGCTGTCTATGCCAGATAAAGAGGCAGCCCCTCCCCCTCTTGATTAATGAATCTCTTTTGTGTTTAGTATTTGGTGTCTATGTGTGTTCTTAGCTGACTCCAAACCCCGACAACTCACATGCACCCAGAAAGGCATAATTGTGACATAAACAACAACATAGGAAACTAAAAGGCTCAAGTGTTTAGTTTATTAATTGGCTTCTGAACTCCAGTGGCAGTGAGCTGCCATCCTTGAAGACAGTGTGATAATACTCATTCTGAAGATGGAAATTCAGATGTGAGTGTGGGAAGTTAAGAGTTTCTGTAAGGCCATTAGATGATATGTGGCCCAAAAGTGGTCTGAAATCCACATGTTCTGTGTTTTTCTTCTTTGTTTACACATTCTGTCTCTGAACTGGCTCTTCAGTGGCTGATATTTTATCCTCAGGCCATATGTACAGGTTTATTGAAACAACTCCACCTCCTGAAGTGGGAAGGAGAACACTGGTTCCACCATGCACTTCAGTATTTAATCCTCTCCGTGTGTTTTCTTATTTACTAGTGCGAGTCTTAATACAAAAGCCATCCATAGAAAAATGCAGAGAGTATATTCAAGAGAGCATAACTGAACTAACAGGTAATTTTTGCAGCTTGATTTTTCCCAAGAATAACAGTTGACATTTGCTATTTGCCAGGACTAACATCAGCCAGGGCTTCAAACATGCACCCATGAAGACAGCACCATGGTCTTACGTTAGAGGAAATTGCTGTATAAAAACTTGTTAAGGGTCTAATAACTGGTAGTTGATAACGCTGGAAACTTCTCTGAAACTGTATGACCTTGAAGCCTGAGATCTTAACTGCTTGGCCTGCTGTCTCATCATGCTAGCATACTTGATCACTAACTGTAAAAAAAAAAAAAATGTCAAAGAGTTAATTTTAAAGTTAATTGATAGAAAAAAGATGAATTCCTTGTTATTTCTATTTCTTTGATATGTCATAACAGCAATTTTCTCTCTGCATATGTTAATAATTGTATTAGTAAAGCAACTACTGTGTGTAACTTGCTATACACAGCAGGAACCGGATAGAAATTTACCATGTCTTCTCGCTTCAGGGAATCCAGCTAAGCTACAGTGCCCCAAAGACTGGCTTCTATACCGTGAGAAATGCATATGTTTTTCTCAAGATTCTAATATTTGGAAGGAAGGTCAATCTGACTGCGCTAGAAAAGGAGCCACGTTGCTGCTCATTCGAGACCAAGAAGAACTGGTAAGTTGTGCTGTAAAATAGAGATATAAGCATGTTCTTGAAGCTATATCAATGTCTCTAGATTTAATGGATCTTCCGTGCAAGGGAAGTAGAGGCTATACATTATGGAAACTCATAGTCTGAGAGACTAAAGGGAAATGTGAGCCAATAACTGCATATGTAAGGTGAGTGTCCTAGGATTGTAAATGCTGGGCACAGATTCCTCAAGGGAAGAAGAATGAACTGTGCTAAGGACTCAGGATGGACACAGTTGACACTTGACCTAGGTGTCGGGAGGCTTTGGAATACGAGTCACAGAATACAGGCTTAGGTTAAGTCCTCTCCTCTGCTTTGATTGTAGAGACTCATAAAGAACTTGATAAAGGAAAGAGGCAATTCATTTTGGATTGGACTAAATTACTCGTTGCCAGACAAGCACTGGAGATGGATAAACGGTTCCACTTTAAGTTCTGATGTGTGAGTATTGGAGGAGTTCACTCGAATGTTCATTTCAGGTCATCTTACTGTAGGGCTCTAATAACGATACCAGTTCATAACAGTCTGAAAACATGATTCCAAAGGTGTTAACAGAGGCTTCTATCCTGCCCAGTCCCTTTGTTAAGTCCCCAAAAAATCATACAAAGGTCTACATTAATTATAAACTGATTTTTAGCCTAGTATTTCAGGCTTCTTATTAACTCTTTCTTACATCTTATATTAGCCCATCATTCTTGTCTATGTTTGTCACATGGCTTGATACCTGGCGAGGCAGTCACATTTAGCTCGCTCTGTGTCTGGCTGACAACTGCAGACTAACCTTTCTGCTTCTCAGAATTGTCTTGTTCTCATTGCCCACCTCTACTTCCTGCCTACTACTACTGACCAATCAGCATTTATTTAAAAATAATACAAGTGATAAGATACAGACCATTGTCCCACAGTACAAAGGTGGCTGAAATTTTCCATTTATTAAAAAGGTCACAGGTATGTATGTGTGGGCGTGTACGTATGTATGTGTGTGTGTGTGTGTATACAATGGACTTCTAAGACTGGAGACTAAACCAACTCCTTAAGAAAGAGAACGTATTTTTACATGCCTACTTGGAGCCTGAAGGCACAAGAAACTTTGCTTTTTTCACTCTTACACTTTTTTTTTTATTTTTCAAAGAATTTCTTGAGTGGTCCTTTCCATGCTGTGGAGAAATGAGCCTTAGTGTGCAGTGAGGCCAGTAGCTCAGGTCACAGCCAGCAGAGGAAGAGTGAGTGGGGAAAGGAAGGCAGTGTCAGCAGGGAGCTTTGTCAGCTGAGAGAAATGACCTCCTTGTCACAGGCTGCAGTGTGGCTTAGCTGGAGTGGTGAAAGCTACAATTATTTGAGGAGCTGTGAGGAAAACAGCATTACTCAGCTTCTGTTGTTGTAACAACATATCACAGAAAAACAAGAAAGGAAAATCATTTTGGTTCACAGTTCAGGGGCCTCAAGTCCTCTTCATCTTGCTGCATTGCTGCTGGCCCTGTGGCAGTGCAGACATGTTGTAAGTGCACAGCAAAGTTGCTCATCTTGAGATGGGCAGGATGGAGAGGAGATGGCAAGCACCAGGGTGGGATGAGAAGCAGAGATTTGCCCTCAAAGGCTGCTTCCCACCACGACCTACATCTTTCTGGGAGGCCTCATTTTTTTGGTGGGAACTCAGCAATGGGCTAATTCCTTGATGGAGTTAGTGCTCCCATGATCCAGTCACCTATCACAACTATCACAATTATCCTTCACTACCGGGTATCAAAAGTATAACTGTGTGTGTGGTAGCTCACAAAGAAACATTTTGCTCTCAGTATCTTGCCACTTTCTTATTAGATGAGATTGTCATGGTAACTGTGCAATGAGAGACCTGACATTTCAGAATTAAATTATATTTTAACAGAATTCATTATTTTTTGTATAACAAGAACAAAATATTCATGCAAAAGGATGTAAGATTCAGTCAAATTTCTCTATAGTGCTTTTTATGAGGTTTTCAGGAGTGATATTGAGAATCATTTTATTAATCTTGTTGAATAAACTTAATCAAATCTAACAAGAAAATGAACTTCTTATTCAGAACAGAAAAGATTGAAATGTAAAATGCTGATTTAGATTTACTCAAAATGTAATGAGCCTTTATTAAGTATAGAAATTGTTGAACATAAAAAGTTGGCACAGAGTAGAGAAATGTGAAGTGTACAGATTAATCTTGGCCGCTCTGTCCTTTACTCTGAGGACAAAATGTCTCTGATTATACTAAAGGGACTGAGAAGCCTGGAGGCTGCTGTGCTGAGTAGAAGTGTCAGTCAAGCAAGCCCCGCCTTGCTTTAACTCTCTGACCTTGGCTCCAGGTAAGGGAAAGGGAGAGAGTAACAGTTCCCCCCACAGGGTTATTTGGGGATTAATAAGGAATGTCAGAGAACTCTCCAGGAGTCCAGCAGGAGAAGGCCTGGGAGGCCTTAAAGGGATTGTGAAAGGAAGTCCTTGACTACACAGATCAGCCACAGGGAAATGATGCTGAGAACTGAAGACAGATCCTGAGGATGGAAGAATCCAAGGGAAATCGTGACTGGATTGCAGGCTGACCACTAGGATGGCATCAGATTCACATCTCAAGCTCAAGGTCTCCACTAAGAACTAAACAAAGGAAGGACACCCGTGAGGAGCCCAGCTACTGTCAGATGCCACCTTCTTTTAAGACCCCTTAGTGTTCTTAGAACTCACCTCTCCCTTACAGTAAACCCTCATACTGTGTGTTAACGCTTGGATTCACGGGGCCATGAGAGCCATGCACATTTGAAAACCATGTGTTAATCAGTAGTTGCCATCCTAAGAGAGTAGAATGAAGGGAATCATGACTATGAGTCTCATGAGCTGAGCATCTTTCCTTCCCTGCATCCAGTTCTGTGATCTAGACCCTGTGAGCTCACTCTGTATACTGGATGCATTCATTGAGCACCTACTGGGTGTAACTGTTGTCACCCATTCAGGTATACCATAATACTTCTCCAAACGTTAGCTAGTTAAATCACATACATGTATGTACATACTTTTATATGTGTATGTATGTGTGTGTTTCTGCTATTAATTTATTTTTGGAGAGTTATTCATTTTTGGTTTATGTATATGAGTGTTTGCCTGCATGTGTGTACATGTACCACATGAATGCCTGGTGTCCATGGAATCCAGAAGAGTGTATCAGATTCCTTGGTACTAGATTTACAAATACTTTGAACCGCCATATGATTGCTGGTAACTAAACTCAGGTCCTTTGCAAGAGCAGCCAGGACTCTTAACCTCTGGGCCATCCCTCCAGCCCCTAACCTTGTAAGGTACAGGAGGTTTTTCTGTCTTTGTGTTGCTTTCATTGATTAATAAAAAACTGCTTTGGGCCTTGATAGGGCACAGCTTAAGTAGGTGGGCAAAATGAAATGAAATGCTGGGAGGAAGAAAGCAGAGTCAGAGAGAGACACCATGGAGCCGCCAGAGACAGACATGCCGAATCTTTCCTGGTAAGCCACTGCCACGTGGCGATAAGTAGATTCATAGAAATGGGCTAAATCAAGGTGTAAGAGTTAGCCAATAATATGTTAGAGCTAATAGGCCAAGCAGTGATTTAATGAACACAGTTTCTGTGTGGTTATTTCAGGGCTAAGCTAGCTAGTGGCTGGGATGAACAAGCGGCTCTCTCCCTTGCAAAACTTGTATATTAAATAAAACTGAAACTAAAAAAAAGAGCTCTTCACAGGATTGATGTGGTAATTTGAATGTAATTGGCACCCATAATCACATAAGGAATGGCATTATTAGACGGTGTGGCTTTGTTGGAGAGGGATGGCCTTATTGAAGGATGTATGTCACTGTGGGGGGTAGGCTTTAAGGTTTCCTATGCTCAGAATACCACCCAGTGTCTCAGTTGACTTCCTGTAGACTGCATGTCAAGATGTAGCCATCACCATATCTCCCACTATCCATGATGGTAATGGACTGAACCTCTGAAACTGTAAGCAAGCCATGCCAAGTAAATGTTTTCCTTGTAATAATTGTTGTGGTCCTGGTGTCTCTTTACAGCAAAAACCCTAAGGCAATGTGTTAGTAGTAGAATAAGGAGATCACATGACATGTTAATAGTGGAATGAGAAGGTCTCCATCCCTTCAAACCATGTGTGTTTCATGCATCATTATGAACATTGTTGCTGGAAGGTTTCTTTGCAAGCGAAGAAACAGCAGGTTTCAGAATCAGCCCTGCTATCAATGTTTATAACATTATGTTTGTATTTACTACACTGAACAACTGTGCATTCTACTGTTTCCTTTAAATTCCACAGGAAAGCAATGACAAGACATTTATGAGAAAATTATAAACACTAATAGTGGCTGTTCTTTTCCTCCTTAGATTACAAATTACTGGTGAAGCTAAAATCAACAGCTGTGCCTCCATCTCAAAGGACAAAGTGGTTTCTGAGGACTGTGCTTCAGACTACTATTGGATCTGCCAGAAGGAACCAAAACATCTCTGAAACCAGGTGTAATGACTCCTGATAGTCAATCTCACTTGGATTACTTTATTATACAGATCTCCACACTCACTCTGTCTAGGCTGTCAGCCCAAACAGTGCACAGTTGGTGACACAAAGCATGGACTCTAAAACCACGGTGACTCCTACAGATGCCCGTATTCTGTTTCTTTGTTCTGTGAAGGGTATAGAGAAGCTGGTGTGTTATCTCAGAGAAGTGTTTTGTGGAAAGAAGCCCAGGCATCCTGAGGGGCACTGGATTCTGTTCTGAACTCTGTGACCCTCACTTTCTGTAAGTCTGAGGTCATCTGTAAACAGCACAGAAGACCACTTGAAAAATCATTATTAAAATGCTCTTAATACAAGGACTGATGGAGCATGCCTGTGTTAAGAGTGCTGGGAAGGCTGAGCCAGGAGGGTCAGGACTTCAAGGCCAGCCTGGGTGAGATAGATTAAATGATAAATGCCCTCCATAGCCGTTGGCATTTTATCACTTGGTCCCAGTTGGTGGCACTGTCTGGGAAGGCTTAGAAGAGTAGCCTTCCTGGAGGAAGTGTCCCTGGAGGTGGTCTTTGAGATTAAAAGCCTAATTTGTAGTTTTCTCTGCTTCATGCTTTCATTTGAAGATGTGAGCTCTCAGCTTTCTGCTCTAGCCACCTGCTTCCTGACTTCTTCCTGCCATTGTGGACTCTAATCCTCAGGGACCAACAGCCAAAATAAACTCTTACTTCTATAGGTCACCTTGATCATGGTGATTTTCATAACAGCAGAAATGTCACTAGTACCCTGGGGGAGACAGTGAGTTAGTCAAAACCAACAAAGCAAACCCTGCTGTTGGAATTAGAGTGAACATATTTGCCTGTGAGGCCAGTAAGCATAGCAAACAATTAATCACCCTGGAACCTACTTCATTTGAGTCATGCACATACCTCTCTTCTGGTAATGCACTCGACACCCTCAGTTCCTCTCTTTTACATGCTATTTCCACACACACCGCTCTCTAAACAACACACCTAGCAATCTGCCGGCACCCAAGACTACCGCACCCACAGAACAGCACAGCAAGCCCACTTTGACCAATGGAAGAAGATATTCATCTTATAAAGACAATCAAACATTGACAGTTTCTAATCAAACATACTATTAATGTATCTGGGAGCTATGGTAAATGGGTCAGTCTGGTCTAGACTGCCTTGGGCTGCACACTCAATAAGGCAAACTGTGTCCAGAAGTGAAGCAGTAGAGAGAATCTCCTAATTACTGTCATGTGCCTAGCACAGCTAAACAGCATATTATTAACAACAGGTTGCTATAGGGAGGGTTTAAGTAACCCAAGCTTGTCAACCAAAATAGAGAACCACCCAGATTAAGCTCTTAGTAGCAAAACTCCTCTGTAGCACAGCTAATAAAAACCCAAAGACAGATAATGGGATTCAACCTGAAGGTCAGAAAAATGAAACAGCCAGTCACTAGCTCTTACCTCTATCTCAGTCCAAAATGGTGATCCTGCCTCTAGGAATTCTCCAAATGAGACTGTGTGTGAGAGCTGTCTCCTGCCATCTTATATTCTGTAACATAAGCTGGGCCTGCTCGTTGGGGATTTCTGTCCTGTCCGGTTCCCATAACTGTTTAGCTCCAAAGAAAATCACACAGAGATCTCTATGGGTCATAAAGCTGATTGGCCCATTAGGTCAGGCTACTTATTAGCTCTTGTAGCTTATATTAACCCATTATTCTGATCTATGTTAGCCATGTGGCTCAGGACCTTTTTCAGTGGGGCAGATCACATCTTGCTGCTTCAGTGGTCTGGGCGGGAGTGGGAGGAATCAACTTCCTCCTTCCCAGAAATCTCCTGTTCTCATTGCATCATTTCTACTTCCTGTCTGCTATTCGCACCTATACTTCCTGCCTGCCAATCAACGTTTATTTAAAACATGATTGACAGAATACAGATAATTCCCCTGTACCAATATTCCTCTCTAGTGCTGGGATAAAAGGTATGCACCACTACCACCCAGTTTCTATGGCAAACTAGTGTAGCTATTGGGATTAAAGGTGTGTCACCACTGCCTGGTCTGTAAGGCTGACATGGCAGCTGTTTTACTCTTTGATATTCTGGAAAGCTATATTTATTAAAATAAAAATAAAATATCACTCTACTCCTTATGAACCCCCTAAAAGGAAGCTCAAAACAATAATCAGAGCCTAGAATACTCACTCCTGTGGCTAGAAGTTCTCATTACTGTGTATTCTAATCTGCACTGTAGCCTTGCTTGGGGTAAGAAACACTCCATTCTGGCCTGGCTACTGACCACATATTTCATTTATTGATGATGGACATTGCCTGTACCTAAACTGGGTAGCACCAGTGACTTTCCCAAAAGAATTATTTTTCAAATAATAAGGCAGAGTGTGGAATGATTTGTCAACGTTTGGGGCTAATCCACTGATAGAGCTGAACCCCGAGTTGACTGCATTGCTGTGCACTACCCCAACACCACTTGAGGTTCTTTCTCACATGCCTGGGAAAATGAAATCAGAGCATACTGTGCATCTGTGCTTTGCCTTCATCTTAAATTCCCAGCAAATGACACTGCAGCAGCTAGGTTCTGTGTTGATATCTGTGACTCCCAATACAATTGAAGGCCATGCAAATGTCAGGGGTCTGGGCTACCATCTGGGGCTATGCTGGTGTCCAAGGGTCATGCTGCCACTGGAGCCAG